CACCACCCCGTTATTATGTGATGAGATTAAGAAAGGAAAAGAATTCTACCAAAAAGAGATTGGTTATACAGGAACAATGAATGAGAGAGAAACTTATGTCAGTGACCTACATCAATGAGAATAGAGGAAGGTGAGAATCAATGAGTTTGTTGAATGAAAGGGATAAGAACTAGGAGAGGTGATACGAAGTGAGAATCGGCGAGATTGATGAATAGAAGGGATTGCCGATGAATGTTGTAAGCTGAATAGACACGAGTTTGAGATAAGACCAAGTACGATAAGGTTCTTTTTAAGAATGATGGAGTAAGTATTGAGTGGATCAGAGAGATCGACAAAGGGAATGAGTGAGAAATAGATATGAGTTATTCCTGAAGAATCGGAGGGAAGAACCAAGTTGGGTCGAGTGAGAGATATAATAAGGAAAAGAAAAGAGGATCGTGCAGCAAGCTCTGACAATTCAAGTGCAATGATGAGGAAAGAGAGACAAGCGGAATGCTCAGATAAGTTAGATCAGATGATGTCATTTCATAGGCTTGAGTGTAATGACATCATCATTTTGATTTTGAGGGAGAAAAAATAGGCTATGGATCAAGAGGGCTAAGGGGCTTGAGCCTAGACTTCAACAACCTTTGGATCTTGTCTCATGATAGTAGACTCGTTGTGGAACCACTATATCCCTCACCTGTAGGTGACAGAGCTCATTCATTCCACTTCCCACATCCCCCTGATGACATTAACGCTATGCTTCATTCCATTTCTTTTCCTGTTTTTTATTCCTGCAGATGTCCTTGCGAATCAAGTGCCCTGGCTTCATGGCAATGTATTCTGATATTCTGGAACCTGATCACAATGTCTGGGTTGACGGACAAATCTTACGCAGGGTTTCAAACGTTTTATATCTCCACGTAAGTTTAGCTGAAATTCTTCAAAATTATACCTCGAGTCCCTCAGCTCATTTTTGATTGTTGTTTCCAGACTCCTATTATTGCCCCCTGCGCTCACATCAAGGATAAGCAATGGAACAGTTGCTTGTAGTTACCTCTACTATATGTTCAAGCTGCCTTGTCTATAATTTCAACCCCTGGGATTCCTTATGTGCCTCAAATCCTCGCGCTTTGCTATGTTACCGTTGTCTCTAAATTCCACTTTCCACTGTCATCTCATAAATTTTTATCCTATTTTGGTTTCACTTTGATACTGAGGTAATGAACGGTTGTCTCAACTTCCCTGATCCCTCCGCAGGGGCTTGTTAATACAGCTGAACCGTTGTCTCAAACTTCAGTTTTCTTGGTCATTTTCTATTCTATTGTCCTACATTGCACGTTCAGCCCGGTCCCCCCGCAGGGGTTCGTTAATACAGTATATAAGTATCAGGTGTATTTCAAGATCTTGTTTTCTATTTGATCCTGTCCCCAAGATTTGATTTCCTGATATTTCAGCCGGAACTGAATATACTTACAATTCTGTGATTTAAGATGACTGAGAAAGATAAAGTAGTGAACCGTTCCATTTCATTTCATAGCAACTTTTGGCCATTGGAAGAGGTATGTCAACTACTCCTGTTTGGCGGTTTTTCAGTTCTAACATTTCATCTTCAGTCTGTTGCTACCATTAAACCAAGACAAATCTATGGTTCTGTCTTGACCCCCAGCTTTGTCACTTGCAATGGTGATGATGCTGTTGATTATCGGGTCCAACTCATCACAAGTGGTACTGCAGCTCACGTTCTATCTCCTGAATTTGTTTGTGACATTTTCAGCCGAGTTTTATTCTTGAATAGCCCTGCTCCCCCTATTTTCAATTACTATATTGAAATGGTTACCAAGACCTGCTCCGTCCCTCATCTAATTCAAGACTAACGGATAAGACCTTCACTTCAGGTGTCGGCTTAGTTGTTGGATTGATGAAGCAGAACTCGGAGGAGGACCCAGAGTTCAAAGCTGGAAAGAAACTTTACTTGTGGATTCAAGTCAATCACAGTGATTGGGACCCAATCGTGAGTCTTTTGTTCAAGTCTGTGTTACACATCTCTGATTTGATTCTGTTCAGGATCGCCTGGTCAAAAGATTTGATGTCAAGTACATTCTTCCAGCAAATCCCAAATTGGTCAACACACATATAATGATCCGTGTTGGACGCGAGTTCACCTTCAATGGCTACTTATCCGGATGGGATTTGAAAGAACATACAGCTATAATTACAGTGTGCAGCCATTTTTTATATTTTTGGAGGATTCTCTTATTGCTCACTTGCTACCTATTTGCTCTAATATAGGTCCTGGGCTTCAGTCCCATCAACATGGGTGGTTCAAGTCCGACTTCCAAGACCAATGCTTATTCACCTTGATCGAGCCCTGTGAACAAAGGTCGCAAGTTGTGAGTACAAACCTTACAATTGCTCATCGGTTATCGGCTGACCCTTTTATGTTTCAAGCATAACATTTCAGGAACCCAAAAATAGTATTCAGCAACCATTGGCTGAATCAGGCAATGGTAGTTTTGACAGAAATGTTACAGTTGCGAACGTCATTAACCGACCACATTTTTTTTTGGGTCCGGACGGTTGGGGACCAAAATTTTGTGATTTTTTTTTTTTGTGAAAATACTACCAAATCAGGAGATTTTCTGACCTGGGAGCAACCGGCCAGCCTCTCCGGAAGCCATATGTGTATTGGTGTAGTGGCCCTGGGTGGCTTTATGCCTTGCAAAGGGTTGTGTGTTCGACTCCGAGCCGAGGTTGTACTTACTACAAGCCTTTTTGACCTTTGGGTATGGGTTACAAGCATGTACTTATGTCATGTATGGCCTTTTTTAAGCCATATAGTCACCTGTAAATCCATACATATGTACTTACTAAAGTATTTATAGACCAGGTCCGATGGGGCGGAGAAAAAAAAAGAAAAAAAAGAATCGTTGGTCGGATGCCTTAGCAGAGTTAATTCTGAAATCCCCTTGGTCTGAAAGGCTCAAAATTATGGTTAGATGGGGGGTTGAGCCTATGTGCCCCCCACCATGAGGGCCCGCGTGCAAATTGTAAATTTTGCAGGCGGGTCAGTACAGGTTTATGACGTTCGCAACTGTACCCCAATTCCTTTCCCATCAACATCCAACGCTTCACTGGGGACAAGTTTAGAAATGGATCAAGTTGAGGCTGAACCAATCCCTGTATCAGGCTTCAGTGAAAAAGGGAAAAGTAAAGCTGTAAAACCTACTTCAATCCCCAAAAAAAGACGCAGGGCCCCAGTCCTTTACTTGTAGCCCCATTATGACTCCTTGTTGTATAATTGTTTTTGGTAAAAAGCCGTAGATCTTTTGTTAGCCCAGATCCGGCTCAAATGAGGTATCTTGTTTTGGTAATGTTCTTGTGGTATTAAGAACATCGAGTTGTATTGAGATTTTGCCAAAAAAAGCTTTTGTGACTTTGTGATGTATTGTCCAAAGCCAATCGTGTTCTTCTTCTCGGTCACATACTCAGATCGTTTAATCATAGTTGTTTGATGATGTCGTAGGTCTGTTTCTGATATATGGATCCTGTTTCATTTGTCAAATCTCATTCTGAAACTTGCTTTGGCTTCTCTATTTTTGTCTAACACCTCTAAATCTTGACATACCAAAATTCCTCAAACTATCCTCAAATTCCTCCCTTTTTTTCTCCCAACAAATGGAAGATATTCCCCCTCAACTCTCACCAATATTAGCAAAACTTTGGCCAAACGGCAAACATAGGCTAGGTCCGTGTACTATGCCATGTGAAGACTGTGGGGCCTTGCACTGGCCTGAAGAGAGAGCCCAGGCAGATATCAAGAAGAACCGTAATAGGTTCGCGATGTGTTGTCAGAAAGGTAAAGTGATATTGCCCTCGGCTTCATTTTCTGCTCCAAAAATTCCTTTATTCTTAGAGACTCTGTTCCGAGGTGATAATACTGGTAAGTGGTCACATCTTTCCAGGTACCTCATGACAACATCTGACCTGTTGATCCAGGACCAGACGCAAAGAATTTCCAGAAATATATACGCTCCTACAATAATGCTGTATTGTTCACATTGCTAGGCTTCACATTAAGCAATATGGCCAAGTCTATACCAGGGACTCCTGTCTTTTGTATCCAGGGAAGTCTTAGCCATAACATTGGGTCAATCCTTCCGGAAGCGGGGCAAAATGCCCATTTTGCTCAGATCTTTGTGGTCGGGGATGGAGGAATGTGTGAAGCCAAATACAGACAACAAATTGCTCTTGGGTCAAAGCCCTCGGCACAACTCCAAGCTAACTTTGATGCTAAAATTATTCTTCAAATACAAACTTTCATGTACAAATATAATCCCTACGCTCAACTTTTCCAACATTCTGCTGAAGTCATGAACAAAGATTGCCCTGTGTCCATGGTCCTCCGGACTATTGAAAATAATTTGTTGGACTTGAACCAGTACAATTGACCGGCGCACGAAGATGTCAGGATTGTTGTTCAAGGAGATGGTGTTCTCAAAGAACCAAGGCACATTGTTTTGCACAACGGAATGGATCCCTCAAAAGTATCAACGGAATGGATCCCTCAAAAGTATTTCTGATCTGCATTCAGCCTATTTTCCTTTAAGATATCCACTATTTTTTCCTTACGGTTCTCAGCAGTGGGAGCCTACATACAAAGTATTGATTACATAACATGAAGAAGAAAAGTACCAGCACGTCTTGCAACTGGAATGGATGGTGTACCTCTTATTTTCTAGGAGGGACCAGTTTTCCGTGATTCTTGCTGGGCGAACCTTACACCAAGATTTGGCCGTTGACATGTATGCATGTATTGAGCACTCTCGCCTGAGTTGGTTTACCAATAATCAGGATACGTTGAAAGTACAAATGTACTCAGGCCTGATTGAATCATTTGGAAAGAACGGGGAGCCTAATGGGAAGAGAATAGTCTTGCCTTCAACATTTATTGGCGGACCTAGAGCTATGGACCAATTGTATCAAGATGCAATGGCAATTGTTCGAGACTACTGGACTCCGGACTTGCTCATTACTATCACTGCAAATCCAGCATGGAAGGAGATTACAGACTTAATCCCGCCTGGATTGGATCCATTAAATCACCCCACTATAATTGCTAGAATAGCAAAGTTAAAGTTCAAAGGAATCATGCATGTATTGGTCAAAAAACATTTATTAGGACAGGTTGAAGCTTACGTCGCAACTGTTGAGTTTCAGAAAAGGGGTATGCCCCATATGCACATCATGTTGACATTTGAAAAAGAATTGAAACCTGATACTCCCAGTAAGGTTGATAGGCTGGTTCAGGCAGAAATTCCTTGCCCAATACAAGACCCTGATCTATTTAGAATTGTTTCTCGTTGCATGCTTCACGGGCCGTGCGAGGGAAAAAGTTGTGTTTGCAAGGGACATTGTCAATTCCGGTACCCATAAGAGTTTTCCAACGAAACTATTCTTCAAGAAGGAGCTTATCCACAATACAAGCGCCGAGACAATGGACAACATATCAGCAAAGGTCCATTAACTTACGATAATCGAAATGTTTTGCCTTACAATTGCGACCTTAGCCTGATGATGAAATGCCATGTCAATGTAGAGGTAGCAGTCGGGATTCAAGCAGTCAAGTACCTTTACAATTATATTTGCAAAGGTCATGATCGAGCGTACTTGGCCTTAGAGTGCAATGATGAAATAAAAGCATTTGTAGATGCCAGGTTCATTGGGCCCGTTGAAGGTATGTTAAGTGGTGTTCATTCATATTCACAGCACTGTGCTGATCTTTGGCATCTCCAGAATCTTGGAGAATATTTCAGTTCGAGTTATTGGAGTGATTCCCTTCGGTTCAGCAATTAGGTGTCCATGAACAAAATGTGCATTCAATATTCTATTTTTCAGTGGAAGAAGCAGAACAAAAACTGAACAATAGGGGGTATCAAATATAGCCAAATCCACCATTATTTAATTGAATGGTTTGAACAAATCCACCCTTTTCTAAACATGTTGGTTATCCATTTAACCCCTTTGGGGGCCCATTTATGCAAAAAAAGTTTTTGGAAAAGTGACTGGTTTCTGATGGTAGATTTTCTATATTTGATACCCCCCAATGAGAAGGTCAAGAGGACCATGTTGAATCAATTTTTCGAACTCAACCAATTAGAAAAACAAGCTATGGGTGTCTTGGCACGGGATTGTTACTATCACAAGATCCCAAAGTATTTTTGTTGGGATGAATCGGTAAACAGGTGGCAGCCCAGAAAGCGGGCCCTGAAAACTGTGGGACGTATTCACTTCATTTCAATTCATCAAGGGGAGCGCTACTATATTAGATTAATAATAATTCATCGTAAAGACATTCACTCATGGATTGATTTGAGGTTGGCGCATGGCATAGTTTATCCAGATTTTAGAGCGGCTGCTGAAGCCTCAGGGCTACTCTTGAACAACGCTCAATATGACGAGGCATTGAAGGAAGGAGCAATATTCAAGACCGGGTTCCAGCTCAGGTTAATGTCTGCTATAATACTCGTCTATAGCCCCCCTGCTGCTCCGATGACCTTGTTCAATGGACACTGGCGCAACTTAGGAGATGACTCAGCATATGTACTGGGCACTAGCTATGGAATCAAGAACGCCACCACCATGCAACTGAAGGCTTTTACCCTACATCAAATAAGCCAAATTCTGAGTACCATGGGAACAAGTCTAGAGGAGGTCAGTTTGAGGATGAAGGACAAAGAAGTAGAACAGGTTGAGAGAATTGTCTCAGGTGACTTCAAGGCATCCGGGTTGCCGAATTACAAAGACAATTGGATTGTATCTTCCAATCTGTTAAATTCAGCGCAACGGCATTTCTACGATGTAGTATTTAAGGCGTTTTTTGAGGACAGGGAGCGGGGTAAATTGTATTATCTGGATGGTCTGGGTGGAACTGGCAAGAACTTCTTATTAAACTGTATCATAGATACTTTTAGAGGACATAATCAAAAGACCATGGCAGTTTCATTGACAGGAGTTGCAGCTCTACTGCTTAAGGGTGGAAAGACAGCTCACTCTGGTTTCAAAATTCCAGTCAATTTCTCCTGTGAATCTTATTGTAATTTTTTGGGCGGCGATAAAGTGGGTCGCGAATTGGTAGAAAGTGACCTTATCATTTGGGACAAAGCTGTTTCAATGCACAAAAATGCAATTGAAACAGTGGATCAAAGTCTCCAAGATTTGATGAAGTCTAATGACCCGTTTGGAGGCAAAACTGTAGTGTTCTCTGGCAATTTTCGTCAAACCCTGCCAGTGGTTTAATCGGGGGTTTATCCAAGATCCGCGGAAGCAACTCTCAGATCATAAAAGTTATGGAATAGAATTGAACTCTATAGTCTTAAATATAATATTTGTCTTGGCATAGGCATTGGTGCAGAGGTAGATGGGATAAATGTGGCCTTTGCTCGAAAGCTCCTCGATATTGGCGAAGGAGCACGACAAACAAGTATTTTGGAGCGAATTGATCTAGGAAACATACCAGTAAATTTTCAGACAAAGTCAAAATTATGTTACAATTTAGCGATAAACCACGTGTACCAAGGCCTGGATCAAAACACAAATACAGACTGGCCTACTTATGCAAGGTATCTGTCGGAGAGGATTATTCTCACTACATTGAACAAGGATGTGGGCAAGGTTAACCGGGTCATGTTACAAAACCTAAGGTCAAAATTGACAGTGTCAATATCAGTGAACAAAGCTGACGACAAAGCTGAAGGATCAATACTGACCGAAGTCTTGGACAAAGTAGATTTTGCCGGATTTCCAGATCATTGCCTAGAGCTCAATATTGGGGATCCTGTGGTTTTGCTTCAAAATTTAAGCATTGATGAAGGCCTCTGTAACAGAACACGTTTAGTGGTCGAAGGTTTAAGCGGGAAAGCAATCAAAGGACGAATATTAAGTGGTCCTTTCAGAGGGAAAGAAGTATTAATTCCTAAGATTAGCTTATTTCACAAGGGCGACTCTTAGTGAAATTTTCTTTTTACAGATACCAGTTTCCAGTAGTGTTGTCTTTCGCCATGACAATAACAA